AAATATTTAAAAACTTCCATAATCTGAACATGATTTATAAAGGTGATCAAGTTCTGGTAATGCAATTGCATTGTGAAAGAAAAGGTGTGGAATGGATCAGAAAAAGTTGATCATGTAGCATGTAAGTGTACTGCAAGGTCCTGGAGTCATCAAAATCATCATAAATTTGGCCCAGTCTTGGTAAAGTAATAATCACTGTACACAGAAAGATGTATAATGGGACAACACAAATGGTGTCGGGCTAGTACTACCTTGATTTCCTTATCTTTCATTGCTCATTACTCAGCCAGTATACATTTTCTTCCAAAATTGTTTGGCACATGACATTTATTTGTAATCTTGAACATTCAGTGTAAGTTTCGTTAGATTCTGTGAGAATTCATTTTCTTTTTTTTACCAGAGCTCAAGTTTATCTTTAAAAAAAAACTTACATAATTTTTGTTTTTAATCAAAGGACAAAAAAGAAAGAGGATCCTGAATTAGGGTTCCCTAGTATTGAAACAATATATTTGTATGGTACTGTTTGTGTGATTCATTTCATCAGAGATAGAAAGTGGGAGAAAAAAAGATCTGCAGATATACTTCTATTTGAGCTGGGATGGAGAAAACAAAACTACACTTACGGGAGTAGATAGTTTTTAATTGAGCTGGGTCAGAGAAAATAAAACAAAACTTTTGGGGAAGCTGCAATCTCTCTATTATAAATGAAATGAATTGTGAAAAATTACAGCTCTGAGCCCAAGTACTCAGGTTGCAAGAAATGTTCATGTTTACCATTTTACTGAATTAGATCACTAATCAAACAATTAATCAATTTCGATAAACTTGATTGGCAATTAGCCTTACAGATATTCTCTCCACATAGACACAATATCAGAAGAATAGAACACAAAAAAAATCTCTTGAAATTTGTTAGATTCAAAGCTTCTTAAATCTTAAATTACGATACCACATATTCATGTATTCCTGGTTTTGGAGAACATCAGACCTAATCGATCGTCTGCTGTTTTACAAATTATCCATCCTGCCCTCGGCTGCAAGATTGTGCATGTATGACTAATGCCGGGTAGCCAAAAGTTCAACCAAGAGCGTTGCCAACTTGAGCAGAACGGTGTGCATGTCTCAAGAAACCACAGCATTTATTCAGGGAACGTCGCCGAGGTTCGTGTAATGATTGAATGTCCCTTTTACCACGCATGGAAATTGCACAGCTAAGTGAGGTGGAAAATTATGGCGCTTAGTCTCCCATGAAATCTCTTTGGAAGGCTTGAGAAGATTTCTGGTTAAATGATTCGTTCATTCACAGGGCATGGGAGATCATATAATTCTAAATGACCCGTGAAGAGGAAATTATTTTTCTTTAACCAAATAATCGTTATATTAGTAAGATAAATCACATAAATGACCGTGAAGAAAAGACTTCCACAAATTCGCAGGAAGGAAACACCCCTATTAACGTAAAATGAGGGTTCTCTATCATTAATAAAGTGGTCCTTATTTCCCACATCATTTGCTGAGAGCCAGAAGGGCATTACGTCTGGGGTCATAGGTCATGAGTGCATTGAATGGATACCTCTCTGGCTCTCTGCATACAACATCGTCTGTTCAGAGCCAGAAGGGCATTACGTCTGGGGTCATAGGTCATGAGTGCATTGAATGGATACCTCTCTGGCTCTCTGCATACAACATCGTCTGTTCAGAGCCAGAAGGGCATTACGTCTGGGGTCATAGGTCATGAGTGCATTGAATGGATACCTCTCTGGCTCTCTGCATACAACATCGTCTGTTCGGAGCCAGAAGGGCATTTCATCTGTGTTAAGGTAGGAGTTCAATATCCGAGTCCTTGTCGCAGCCCCACCCAATTGAAATTTCTTTGTAGTACAACATTCAGACAAGAAAGGGGAACCTGACTCTTGATCACATTTTTGTTTGAAAGAAGCTCCAACAAAATAGCTCCATGACATTTCACTACTCAATACTCAGACTACAAAAACTAGGACAAAAACTAAATCAAACAACTCTACAATTTTCGTATCGCTGTATGATGAGTTGTGGTAGTCTGCAGGAAAGGGGACCTGACTCTCTTTTTTTGAACGATGTTCAAACATGCACTTCGCTATAAGACATCTTTCTTAATACAATTTTCAAACTACAAACACTAAATCATACAGCTATACGACTCTCGCCTAGGTATACAATAAATTGTGGTAGTCTGAACTGGGGTGGGGATAGATGCAGGACCTCATCAATATTACATCTATCCGTCCTCCGTTGCCTTGCCTCGAGTCCCGGGGAAGTATTGGAAGGTTTCTCTGATAGAAAATGACCCCCTAAGCAAGGAAAACCAGTTGCAACGTTAATTTCCATTTTCTCTGGTGGTTTAGCAAGGAAAAAGGTAGGAATTGGAGAGATGGGAGGGGAGAGGAAAGAGGGAAAGAAGTAAATGGTAAAGAGGGGAAAAATTGGAGGGAAGAAAGACGAGTGGGAGACAGAAAAGAGAGTGAGAGGGTGGACAGCGAGAGGAAAAGGAGATGAGATAAGGAGAGGGACAGAGAAAATGATAAATGTAGGTGAGAGAGAAAGAAAGAGAGGAAAATAGGGAAGGAGAGGATAAAAGGGAAGGAGAGAAAGGGAGGGAGAGAAAGGGAGGGAGAGAGAAAAAAATACAAATGAGGGAGAAAAAAAAAGGAATGAGAAAAAAGAGACAGAAACAATGAAATACAAAATAAGTGAGAGAGGAAGAGGGAGAGAGAAAGAGAGAAAGAAAGAAAGAGAGAGAGAGAGAGAGAGAGGGAGAGAGATAATGTAGAGGGCAGAGAGATATAACACAAAAAAGGAAAAAGGAGTACGAGATTTAAAAAAAAAACAATGAAAAAGGGCTAGGAGGTCTAACATCAAGATAAAAATCCAACTTTAGTAATGGAGGATGAGAAACAGAAAAGAAAGAGAAAGAGAAAACCTAAACAAGTCATGTACAGTACAAACCGATAGAAATAGAAATAAATATATGTCACAGGCCAAGTCGTTCCCACACTAATGAAAATGCATGGCGTACAAGGAGAGTATGTCAATTCCCCCATAGTTGGGATGGATAGCATATCTTATGAGTATATTACGGCATTGATGGATGGCGAGTCAGCAGAGACCAAGAATTTACGTCTGTCGCAATTACGTGGTACATTTCAACGTGAAAGGATAGGATCGTAGCAGGCAGGGGCAAGGCAGATGCAGGGAGATCATAAACATACTTGCTTCATTAGTTGTGTCTCTAATAGCACGAGACTTGTTAAATACTGTGACAGAACAGTATCTGGTGGTGACAGATATGATGTTGTCTGTTAAGAGCCAGCAAAGCTTTATCTTTGTAACATATAGGTGTAAAAGTTCTTCTGTCTCTCGGCTGATGATATACTTTTTGTATTATGCCTAGTTGTTGTGGATCTACATTGTTATCCATTCTCACTTTTTATTTTGTCAATTTCTATTCATTTCCTCAAATTTGTGTATCCTTGTCCAGTTGAATTTTCTTTCTGCTACAAGACTTTTTTTTAAAGTCTATACCAACACGCAAAAAACATAAGTTTATTATCGATTACATGAGGTTTGTTCTACATAGGTTCTTGCTTCAATTCAGCAGCTTGGTTGATTTCCCTTTAGTCTCTTATTTGTATTCCCTCACAGAAAATTGTAAAAGGAAAATACAAGTTTTTAATAATAAAATTGGCAACATGATAAGATGTTCATAATCACTGTTTTTAATATAGAATTGGCAATTTTTCAAAGTTTCCATTGAAAGTGTATGTCTGAAATTACGGTGTACCAATAAAATAAAAATTATTAGTGTTGCCAATTTTGATGACACAAGATGACATCACTTCACCCCTTAAATAATCCCTGTCCTGAATGACTCTATTAAAGATGAGTTCTTTCCCCCATCATAAAAGTAGTAAGATACAACGACAACATGGTGGCCTGTACTTCTACAGAAGAAGAAGAAAGAGAAGAAAAAGAAGAAGAAAGAGAAGAAGAAGAAGAAGAAAGATATGAAGAAAGTGAGAAAGATGGAATTCTTGGTTACACCCAAGGAAGTGATGCGATTCCTACTCATGCTCTCAAGCTTATCGTAGGAACCAGAAGGGAGGTACCGAGGAAGGATGGGATGCTGTGAAGGGGGAAATCTCTTGCCCCCTTCACCCCATCTACCCTGATATCAAGTTGGTTTTAATTGAAGCAGAAAAATGAGAGAAACAGGTCAGTGAAAGTTATGAGCAAAATCTAATGAGAAATAAGAAAGTTATGAATTGTTGAAGGTGCAATCAAACAAACACGAATTGGCAACTCTGTGACTTGCGAGCTTCCCTCTCATTTGCCCTGTACTAAAAGACTTCAAAAATCTATATTTTCCCCGAAGAAATTTGTCAATCATACATTCACCCTAAATGTAATTATTGCAAATTTGTGTTTTCGTACAACCCCCCTTAAGTAACAAATCTATTCTGCCATCAATAATTACGAAAATGAAAGTCAATGAAATTCTGTACAGAGCAAATTGGAGAGGAGCTCGCAGTATTGCCAATTTTTGTTTCACTGATGACAGCTTTTAAAATTCATAACATTCCTATTTTCAGTAAAAATTTGCTCAAACTTTCACTGACCGGTTCCTGTCACTTTTCTGCTTCTATTAAAATCAACTTAATGTCAGGATGGACTTCCTCTTTAAATGGATTGAAAGAGGGGAATAGCCTGAGCAAGGTCTAGACCTGGTCTAACCTGGCCTAATATAACCTCGTCCATTCTAGTCGTAGGTATGATAGGGGTCTTGAATCTGTCGTCATACCCGTGCATGATGTAGATCTACCGATAGAACTCCAGGTTTTTAACCGTGTTGACTGTTGAGAAAAATGAAACTCTAGACCTGGTCTAACCTTGTCTTATCCATTCAAATCTTACGTATGAAAGGGGTCTTATAAACGAAAGGGGCCCTGGATCTGTCAACTTACCCGTGCATGATGTAGGTCCACCCCATATAGCTCTAGGTTCTTCACCGTGTTAAGAAAATGGAACTCTGCATCTGCAGGAAGCTGTCCGCTGTAGGGAGAGGAAATTCAAACAAGGTTTAAAATCAATGAATAAGAATTACCCTTGACCTTGTGGTAAACCCGTCTTGAAAATAAAGAAATTCATTTTCTAGAGATCTGGATAAATTTCTGAAAATGAATTAACCTTCACATGATTGCAATGACTTCAATTAACAAACTATGAATTGCAATTTTTGTTGTGCTTTCACAGATGTCATCGGTGTATGCAGCCCCCTGTGAGCAGTTATTTGTTGAGATAATTAAAATAATTTCTCTATTATAAGAAAACTAATTTTTCACCAAACCACCAAAATACCATTTACCTAGAAAATGAATGAATGAATAAAAGTACAAATGGAACAGTATTTTGTCTCACATATTTGATGAAAAATATGTAAGCCCAGTACAACTGTGAGCGTAGATCCCATTGTTAATTTTTGTTAGTGTAACTATTCTTCTAGTTTTATGTTCTTCATATAACTATGTTTTTACCTCATAAAGCCCTGTAACAGTGTATCACTAAGTAATAAGAAGGGATATGTGACAACATTAAAACAGACTTAAATACATATACAATGTCATCATTTTGTTTAAACTTTCTTGAAATGCAGTTCTAAGCAATTATGGGAGAATTTGGTCACTTTAATTTGATCATGTATGGATAAATTAATCTTGTTATTAATTCACTACTCCTTCTCCCTCAATGCTTAAGAAAGTCACTGAATCAGGAGACCCTTTAATTAATCTATGAAAAGTTACTAAAAACGCAAAATAGAGCACAAGCTCTTGGAAAGTCTGTCGGCACGTTGCATCTTAAATTATAATTTTCTCCTTCTAATTTGGGAATCCAAGGGAGGCTAATATCTGAAGAGGAAAATGCCATTGGCTGAAGGAGTTCCCTCTCAACAGGCGCGTTTTCATCATCCCGAGATTGCCAAATAACCCGCTATTTCTGATTTAGGAAATAATCCCGAAGTTACAAATCTCGCCTTTATCAGCTCGAGATTCGATCTCGAAACTTGAAACTCGACCTTGAGATATAAGCTTGAGATATTTTGCTCAGCGTTAGCACATAGTGCAAGTCTTCGGTCGTGTTAAAAACGTACCGGACAAATAGCTGGCTATTATGCCAAATAGTGGGATATTTTGCAAACTATCCCAAGATATCTTGGGATGACAATCCCGACCAAATATCCCGCTAATTGCTACTTCGGTCTGATGAAGACGCAAATTAGCTGGATAGTTTGCGATCAGGATAGTTCAAATAGCTGGATATTTGGCAATCTCGAGATAGTGAGGACAGGCCTTTCGAGATGTCAACTTATGAACTAGGTTGATAGATGTAGGGTAAAAAGAGCACCGGCCTAGCAAAAAATTGTGAAGATAGACGACTAGTCTGTATACAATGAATCAGAAAAGTCTGTCATCGGCATGGAGATTAATTTGTGTACTACATGTTTTTCTACATGAATTTGGTCTTTGTTTTTAGGAGTTTTATTTGGCAACCAATGGGTATAGAATAAGTCAGTTTTATGTGTGGTTGGGATAAAGTTTGGCAAGAAAAAGTGTCTGTTCAGAATGCCATTATCAATAAAATATTGTGAAGAGGGAGAAGGGGAGAAGGGGAGAAGGGGAGAAGTAGAAATAGATAAGCATCAAAATAGATTAGCAGAAATTATGAGAAGGGGCAGAAGGAATCACATTTAAAGACAACTATTTTCATCAATGATAACACCCATTTCTCAGCCTTTAAATATATGCAAAGTTACATAATACATATACCAAACCTCAATATGTATTAGTTCATATTTAACCATTAATCTCAAGACCCTCTCAAAAACAGAAGTGAGTCCATCCTGTACATGATTTAATGAGACTTTGACAAGGGTCAGTGTTTATGTCATAATACATCCTGTTTAGTTTGTCAAGTATCTGCTGTCAAGTGTACCATGAGCAGATAAGTTGGAAAGGACATCTTCTTGAAGGTTGAAGAAATCTTTGCAAAGCCATGTAACTTTTCATTGGCATGTTATGATAGGATATTTACATCCCATCTGTTTGGAGTTAGAAGGGCATTAACTTATTTACTTTAAACACAGATTTAAAGCCCTTCTGGCTCTTCAAAGACCCCATACACTTGAAGCTGGTATGAGTAATTTGTTAAGAGATGGAGTGTTATAATTATGAGCATAGGTGATACTCCTCAAGGAAGCACTTATCTTTGAAGGATATTCTTCCTGAGAGATGGAGGGGAACAGGATGCGGTCTTTGAGACGGAGCAATTGAAAGAAGAGGTGGGGTAAAAGAGGAAGAAAAGAAGGGGGAATGGATTGAGAGAAATTTTGCTGAGATGGGAGAATAGGGTGCATCTTTGAGATGGAGCGGTTTACAAAAAAAAGTGGAGAAAGAAGAAAACAAAAAGGATGGAAGAACTATTTTTCAGACGAGAGAAGGAAATAGAATGCAATTTTTTAGAAAAAGGAATTATACAAATACATGTGAGAACAAAAGAAGAAAAGAGGAATGGACGGACAGGATTTTTCAAGGCGGTGGAGGTGAATAGGGGTGATCTTTGAGAGGTGGGAGATCTACAGAAAAGGATGAAGAAGGAAAAAGGCCAAATGGAAGAAAGAGTAAGAGAAGATGAGGAGAAGAAGAGAAAGGTAAAGGAAGAAGGCATTTTTTCCCTGAAGAAATGGAGGGGGACGAACAGATTGCTATATTTCAAAAGGAGTAATTAAAGCAAAAGGCGAAGGGGGAGGGGGAGGGGAGGGGGAAGAAAAGGATGAAGAATGGATAGATTATGATCTTTGAAAGTGATGGAGGAGAACAGGATGCGATCTCTAGGCCTGTCTTCACTATCTCGAGATTGCCAAATATCCAGCTATTTGAACTATCCTGATCGCAAACTATCCAGCTATTTGCGTCTTCATTAGAACGAAGTAGCAAATTAGCTGGATAGTTGGTCGGGATAATATCCCAAGATATCTTGGGATAGTTTGCAAAATATCCTACTATTTGGCAAAATATCCAGCTATTTGTCCCATGCGTCTTCACTAGACCGAAGATTCGCAATACACGCTAACGCTGAGCAAAATATCTCGAGCTAATTTCTCAAGGTCGAGTTTCAAGTTTTGAGGTCGAATCTCGAGATAGTGAAGACGCGATTTGTTACTTCGGGATTATTTCCCAAATAGCGGGCTATTTGGCAATCTCGAGATATTTGGCAATCTCGAGATGATGAAGACGCACCTTTTGAGACAGAACAATTAAAACAAGAGGTGGGAGAAGAGAAGGAGAGGAACAGATGAACTTTGGAGGGAAAAGGATGCCTTCTTTGAGTTAAATTAGAGGAGAAGAGGAAGGGAAAAAAGATGAAAAAGAAGAAAATTGATAGAGTGGAAACCTTTTCTGAGTGGTGGAGGGAAACGTGATATGATCTTTTGAGATAACCATGTGAAGAAAGAGGTGAGGTATTGATAGAAGAAAGGGGTAGGGGGTGGAAAGAGTTCTCTCATATAAAGCATGTCAACTGTTTTAGAGCCAAAAGGGTTTTAATCCTGTGTTACAATGATCTGACGTTATGCCCTTCTGGCTCAGAAAAGGTGGAGCAATCTTCGACAAACTTGGAGAGAAGGAGTATGGTTTCTAGACTGGGGTCAACTTACAAGTTTGCTTTGTGAAGATGGTGTACTTGGTTGATGAACTCCTCTGTCTGGTACGGAATGAATCTAAATTGAGACATGTATCCATCCGGATGGTCCTGAGGGTCATAGTCTCCAAGCTCAGCTGAAAAATGGAGGGAAAAAAGGGGGGAAAAGACAAAGGTTTAGAGCTTGGACCAGGTGAATGACCTCATAATTTCCTTGCTTAGACCATGGGTCCATGCTTAGACATGATCATCGTTAAAGCAAGCACACATTTATGACAGAATGATGAGAATAATAAATATTTGACATGCATAAGTTTCTTCATCTTGAGTTTGATTTGGCCTACTGTAAATAACATGGAGAAATTCACAGAAAACAAATCATAAGAATTGTCTCAGAAGTCCAACATTTATAAATTTTTAGAACGTCATCCCAATATAATTCGAATATGTGTACCTTTTGAAGAATGATACATGTACTGGGTAATGGGTGATACATGTACATGTTTCTCCTTAGATGAGCTACAAAACATGTAAGTGAAGGCAATGTAAGTATATTTTCAAATTCACAGAGATAACAGAAGACATAATGTAAAATTCCTTAACATGCTTGCTTGCCTAAGTTATATGAGCAGGGTTTTGAACTAAAAATATGTGAAGAGTTCTATGAAAAAGAAAAATATGAGAGCTAGAACATTATATGATACCACTAATTCTGCAACATACTGGTTATGCCCAGAACAAGTTCTCAGCTGAAGACAGTTAACAGAAGAGGGACATAAAAGGAATTTGGGGGCCTTTATCCTGAGATGAGCTACAAAACATGTAAGCAAACACACTGCAAGGATATTTTCAAATTCACACACAGATAACAGAAGAAATTATCATTGCATTTTCAGCCCAAGATTCAATATTCTCCATGCATCTTATTACTGAAAGGCTTGTTCATTCCCCTGCATGGGCAGGCATGCCACTGGAATGAAAAGGCATGCAACAAGATGTCCTTGTAATACCGTCCCCCCAGCTAGCATGGCCGAGAGCACCAACCCCTCCATGATCAATAACCTGACGATAGTTACCTCCAATAAGCGCATCCATTCTCCGCGCATCTTGCCAATTCCATCTCGTAAAATTCAATCTAGCCTCGTTACCCCTGCCCACAATGCCACCGCCTATACACCCAGGCATCTTGAACTCCCATCTCATCTATTTTTTCTTCTCCATCTCTTTTTCCTTCCCTCGCCCTCTCTCTCTCTCTCTCTCTTTCTCTATCTCTCTCTTTATTTATTTATTTATTTATTTATTCTGTTTTATTTAAACAGGGTAGCCCCGTCAGTAATCACAGTACTGTTTTCCAGGGGGCCCTGTACACAAATGCAACATATATGAAGAAACAAGCTACTTGAACAATATAAACATCATGGAAAACATCAATACATAGTAACATATAACAGAAAATGAGTCTTTCTCTTGCTCTCTCTTGTTTCTTTGCTCTTTGCCCTTCTTCTCAATATTATCTTGCTAAATTTAGCAGTCCTCCTCAAGCTCCATCAGTTTATCTTTCTCTCCACTTCCTGCTTCTGTCTTTCTTTCTCCATTTCTTTGCTGTTTTTGCCCCATTTCCTTAACCTCTTTTTTCTTGTTTCCCTCCCTCCCTCCCTCCTTAAACCTCCTTCCCTATGTCAACCTCCAATAATAAGCTTCTCTTTTGTCTCCTATCCTCCCTCTCCCTCTTCTCTTTCCTCTCCATCTCTCCTCTCCCCTTTTGTCTGTTCCTTTCCTTTCCTTTCATCTCCTCTCCTCTCCTCTCCTCTCCTCTCCTCTCCTCTCCTCTCCTCTCCTCTCCTCTCCTCTCCTCTCCTCTCCTCTCCTCTCCTCTCCTCTCCTCTCCTCTCCTCTCCTCTCCTCTCCTCTCCTCTCCTCTCCTCTCCTCTCCTCTCCTCTCCTCTCCTCTCCTCTCCTCTCCTCTCAACCTCCCTCCCTACTTCCCTCCTCAATCTCCATCCATTCTCAACCTCTCACCAGTTTCTCTCCCTCTCCCTTCCATCCTTCATCTTCCTCTCCATAATGATTTTCTTGATCCTTCCCTCCCTCATCTTTTTCTTTCTCTGCTTGATAAAAACAATAATTGCCCCTTAAACTAATTTTTCAACTAACATTTTTTCAGTGACAATTAAATTGATATTTCATCTCAAGATTTTAAAACAAAATAATTGATATTGAAGTTGGAATGGATATCACTCATTTCAATTAAGACCATGGAGTGGACGTTTCCATTTCTTCTCTCATTGTTCAGATAGCCCTAAGGGTTTGCCGCACCACTCTTTGGTAACGGAAATACATTACTAATGCCTATTACACCTTACGGCAATGATACTTCATTGAATTATGAAAATATAGCTCAAATAAACATGAGAGTATAAAGTGGTAGAAGTCATTGGCTTCTTTCTGCTCCCCCCTCTCTCTATCTCTCTCTCTCTCTCTGTCTCTCTCTCTCTCTATCTCTCTCTATCTCTCTCTCTCTCTCTCTAAAACATGAATACAGTAGTCACTCATTAGCTGATTGAACTTCACCACAAGAGCCGCAGTTTTATGGACTTCACGAAGCGCTCGCATTTAGATTACCTTTGCTATCATCCTCTGGTCCATTCTTTGCCCTGTATTCTGGGAACTCCTGCAGCAACTACTGCAATATCTCTATACTTGCTAATGTCATCTATTGAGAGCCAGAAGGCCATTAACTTTGTGTTGAAGTAAACGAGTATTAAATGCCCTTTTAGCTCTAAACTGACAATATAATAATGAAGAATGAACTATTATCTTTTATAGGGAAACAGCTACAGAGAGAAGCAAGTTATAGTGTCTGACACTTGAGCTAAGAAACATTGTACTTGAAATGCAGGCTTCGGCGCTTACATCCTTTGTGCAAGACATTAATCTATGTTTGCCAGTCTCTACACGGGTGTATTATGAGAACTTGTTGGAAACGAATTCCTTGAATGCTGTGTGAGGGGTAATCCAATTAGTCTACCACACATTTGGTCTAATATTCATTTAGTCTATTATTCATTTAGTCTAGTAACCAAATAGTCTAAGTTCCAGTGCGTCTTCCATCCATAAGGTCTAATAATCATTTGATATTATTATTTATGATTATTAGACCAGATGGATAGTGGAAAAAATGGGGGATAAACAAACTGGACATTAGACCTCCTGGAATTAGACTAAATGAGCAATAGACCAATCAGGTAGAAGACTTCTTGGATATTAGACCATATGACTATTAGCCTGAATAGTCATTAGACCAAATGATAAGCAGACAAATGATTATTGGACTACTTGGATAGTAGACGGGCTGGGTGTAGACCATATGGGAATAGACCAATTGAGTAGTAGACCAATTGGGAAGTAGACAAACTGGTTGTAGACCAAACTGCCTTGCCATGCCGAGCTTCAGAAAGCAATATCTGCTCAGTACCCTAGTGTAATTACACTATCCTCTGGAGACTATAATGACGAAACCAATCAAAGATGAACAACTCATTTTAATCAAGAGTGTCATCAAACTTATACGAGGTGCAAGAAAACAAGTGCAATTCTCACTCGTGGATTGCTACCAGAGTTTCAACTTCTCACCTCTCTCTCAAACACAAATCACACATCTAGGTTTAAGGTACCATTCAAATGTAGGAATGAAATATTGCAAATTCAGTCTTAAAGCCTGTCTGCACTAGTTTGGCCGGGAGGGATTATACCTCCCTGCATGGTCACTGACAGGTGGTTATCTAAGCTCAATCGGCTCTCAATTAACATAACAAAAAGGGGATCATGGGGAACCATATTGGGTACCGCTTTGGCATTGTTTGCTATATAGAGGGCACAAGTAGCTACAAGTTGTGCAGATAGGCTTTAAATGGTATAAACAGCAAAGCAGTCAAGAAAAAAATAGTGAAAGATATTTCACTAGGGTTAAAAGACAAAATAGTTGTCAAATTGTAAAATGTAATAAAGATGAGATTGGCATATCATATCCATATTTCAATGTTTGCCCGGTAGAAGGGTGCAAACAAGCCCTGCTTTATGAAGAAATTAATCAACTCACATTAACAAAGCTAAAAAAACTTTTTTCATTTGAAGTATTTAAAAAAAACATCAAAATTCCAAGTATGCTGATTTAGACACTACTTCCAGCTCAAGCATCCCCCCCCCCCACTCCCCTCCACTTTTTTGTTTCAGCCATGCATACCAACATGAACCTGAGTTGAAGCTCAAAAGTAAATCTACAGTGAGATAATCACTGAAATTTGACAATTCTTTTCTATTAATAACACAATTACAACTATTCCTGGAAAAAGCAACTCTAGGGCAATTTCAATGCCCTATTGTACAACCCACAGAAATCATGTTTCCATAACGGATTTAGGATCATTGTCACGTCAAAACATTTCAATAGGTGATGAAGAAGGATGTTAAAATCGCATTTGGTTGATTTATTTCAAAAATAGTTGTGATCGTATTAAATTCTCATTTTAGATGATTTATCCATACATGCCAACACTGTATGTGTATGTAATCTAGAATGACACTAATACACACATGCTGTATCATACATGTATCTCTAATGTCTTACATGCACTAATCATGTAGGCCTACCTAAACAACCATAGCATGTACATGCAACGCACGTAGGTACGTGTACGGTAAATGTTGATTTGATATACCTGAGAGTGCGAACCCTATCTGGAAATCGTGCTTTCAATTTCACCCATCAATACCCATCACTCGAAGAAGCTAGCTTGGATTTCGAAGATGATCATACATGTAAGTGTGATCAAAGTTTTCCAGCCATGCCCTTCACAGTTTACCGTAAATCTCTGTGTATAAGGCGCACCTGTGTATAAGGCGCACCCCTATTTTGGGGGCCCAAAAAAAAAAAAAAAAAAAAAAAAAAGTTTTTTGTTTTGTTGTTGTTGTTTTGTTGCCGAAAACCCACGCGGGGAAGGACCTTCATTTTACATCGAGGTGCAGTTGAAGTTGTGAACTTGTCACAATTAATAGTAACAACAGTCTAAGGCTTCATGATACCAAGTGTCCCACACCAGCCTCCTCACATCACCTAGCAGAAGCAGTGTGTTCTATG